GGGGTTGGTGTTGTGTTGTACGAGTTCTTTATATATTTGGGGTATTAACCCCCTGTGGGAGTTGGTGTATGCAGATATCTTCTTCCATTCAGTTGGCTCCCTTTTTGTTTTGCTGGTGGTTTCTTTTGCTGTGAGGAAGCTTTTTAGTTTGATATAGTCCCATTAATTCATTTTTGCTTTGACTAACATTCTTTATATCTGATATAACACACACCAAATAAAAATCTGAATTTCTAAACCATGACAATTTCAATTAACTAACTCCATAATCAGCAAAGTCATAAACAAGAAATACCTCATTTGTGAACTGAAAGTTATAAATCAATATAGGACATAATTTTAAGTGAGCATAAGTAAGTATCATAAGGTTCACATGGGTTTTATTTATAGGGTGTTTATTTAGCTAAAATTTAGATGTAGATCTTATTTTTTAAGTCAAATCTAACCTTAAAAAATATAGCTCACATACATTAAAAGGTATGAGGAAATAAATATAACCACAATTATGATACTAGAAAGAGACTATCCAGTAAATACTATACTAAGAACAGAATATAACTCAAGTGCTTCCTTCTCTACTCTCACAAAGACACTTCGGGTACTAGATATATAATTTAAGTTTTCAGTGGTAAGAAAAGTTTTATCTCTCACTTTATCAGATATGTTGGCCATTTTTATTGACTGACAAAGTTTCAGAACTCAACAACTTAAAAGGAAAACTTTCAAAAACAGGGAGTTGCTCAGCCAGGCATGACTCAGCAGCTTAGCGTCGACCTAGGATCCAGGCGATCAGGGCTTGATTCCTGGTCAGGGCACATGCCCGGGTTGCGGGCTCAATCCCCAGTTGGGGGTGTGCAGGAGGCAGCCGATCAATGACTCTCTCATCATTGATGTTTCTCTCTCTCTCTCTCTCCCCCTCTCCTTTCCTCTCTCTGAATTCAATAAGGATATATTTTAAAAAATAAAAAATTTTTAAAAATTAAAAACAGGGAGCTCAGATTCATTGTGTTATATATATACAATTTCTCCTCAAACCATCAAATGGGAGTGATTTTTTTTTTAATTGATAATTATCCTAATCATTCAAATATATGCTAAAATGGGCTCAAGTTCTATTATTTTATTATATGAGCTACATTTACTGTAACGCAGTAGTTTAAGACTTTTTCCACATAAGTGAACAATATAAACCAACTTTTTAAAGTCCACTGAGAATCCATATCCTAAAGTAACTTCTTTCCCTTCACTCCTCTCTCATAAGAATATTCCTATGGCAACCCTGCCAAGGATGACTCAACAACCTCTACTCCTTCCATTAATTAGTGGCAATACTTAGGTTTTCATCATTGCAAGGAGATATAAATATGTTCTCTTAGTATTCAACTCAGTAAATCAAATATCTGCAGTTTAATCCTACACAACAATTTTAGAGTAAAAGCTGATTTAAAAACTTCCCAACCTGAATGTGTTCCAATTAGATGCTTATTAATGAATTCTAGCAAAGCAAAATAAATAGGACTAGTTATTAAAATTTAGAGAGATCTCAGAAGTTCTATTCATCCTTTAAAATGCATAAAAACAGGATAATCTGGGTTTTTATAATTAAAATGTCACATACACACACACACACACTTGAAAGAGCCAATCTCAGAGAGTTCAAAAAGATCCATCAGAATTTAGAGAGAAAAATAAATTAAAGGAACAAAATGAGCACAAACTTACTATAATCAAAGAAAAACAAATGTAAGAAAGATGTCACTTTTGCCTAACATGGGAAAAAGTTTTATTTTTAGTTACTCTAGTTTCCAGGGCCTCTCAGATTGTCGGTGGAACCTTCCAAAGAGTAAGTTGAGAGGTGGATACTCACAATTTTTAAAATGTTGATATAATTAGATCTATAATT